GGCGACGTGTGGATGGATGATGGGTGGGAGGGAAGAGGGAAGAAAAAATGAATGTGTACCGTTCGGGACAACCTGGGATAAAACCTAGTTCAGAGAGTGGGTTTTTCGTGTGTGTCTCTGTTTTGAGGTGGGAAATATCTCTCGTCGTCGGGGAGGGTGAGGGGCGACTTAAAGCGGAGTCGTGGTGGAAGAAGTTGCCGTTGAGGTGGGAAGTGGAGGTTTTATTTTTTGCTTCGTTTGCGAAGTGTCGTGAGGAAGGAACAGCTTTTTGGTGGCCTTCCGACTGGACCAGGCGCAACAGGTAGAGATCTATCGAGTTGGTTGGCGCAGGGCAAGCCGCAGGCAAGAAAAAAAACACACGCACACACAATTGCAGGCAGATCACGGCGTGCCCTGTGCTCTCAGGGCCACCGGCGTGGACCGGCCTAGTCTGCCTTTAGCACCGCGGCACCTCACCTCAGGGCCTGCACCGGTTTGGTTTGCCTTGGAGCTGGATGGCCCGTCCAAGTGGGGCTGACGTGCACTGATCCCGATACTTTGGGAAGCTTGCTGGCTACCTGGACCCCAGGCAACAATTTGCTGTTGCATCATGTAGCCGGTCGTCCAGCGAGGTAGCGGGTGGGAAGAAACCTTAGATAAGCAGCGTAGCACGCAAACCGAGCTCTCGGCTGAGCTCCCCAGCTTCACCGGGAATTATGCCATCATCCAAAAGCAGCCGACAACTGCCATTGAGCCATGTCTCGGCCGTCTACATGGTTGCAACTTCGCAATCCGCATCTTGGCTTTCTTCTCCCTGCACGTCTCTCCTTTTCTTTGCCATCCTCCGCTGCCCATCAGCCCGCCTCCGCTGCTGAATACTCACCTGCTGGGGTGTTGTTACAAGGTACCGAGGTAAGGCAGGGAGACGGGGCTAAGCAGCAAGTCAGACGCCAAAGCGGACTTCATCCTTTGTTCTAATTACATCCTCGTGCGACACGCTGCCTTCATCTTCCAAAGTGTTTGTCTATGCCTATGCAATCGTAGTAATACAATGGTGTTTTCTTTCTTGATTCCACTCCAAGCTTGACTCTACCCACATTTTAATCGGTCCATCCAAAAACCTCACTCACGGCTAGGGTGTTGGACCTGACACCGATAAGCGTGATGACGAGCGCGACGAGATCAACGATGAGAAGAAGTGTTGACGCCATCATGAAGCGAGGGCTGAACACTCTGTACAGCATGAGATGCCTCCTGAGCCAGCCGGCCCACATCATTGTCGCCAGAGACTCGACCGCGAAGTAGGCAATGAAGATACCCAGAGCCCGGCTGACGCTCTCAAGAATGCCCTTCCTCTTGGGACCGACCTTCCAGAGCACGATGAGAGGAACAGCGACGACAGCGATGATCTGGCCGCCGAAAGTGTTGAGGGCGACGACGATAGGGGACCAGGGGTATCGGATAGAGAACAGTGGAATGAAAGCGCTGTCCCACTGGATGCTGCTGAGAGCAGCCTGGTGACCCGTCTTGAAGAAGCCGTAGTTGCCGAGGACGCCCAACATGACGGGGCCAATGGCCTCCGTCGTAAGGTTGTTCAGGTCGAGGATCTCAACGAGAGCCATGATCTGCCAGAATAAGAGTGCCAGTGCACCACCTCCCATGGGCTTGGAGAGGAGGATGCAGGCCCCGACGATGTTCATCGGGAGGAGAAGGTATCTGGCGCCGTTGGTGTTGCCGTAGCCGAGGACCGTGATCTGAGTGTTACCGTTCTTGCCAGGTGTCGTGAGGATGGAAACCAAGGGCGGTGCCCACACAAACGCAGTGGTTCCAGCGACAAACACCAGAGCGAGAATGACTTGCGCGAGGTACACTCCTGCCGTCTTGATGGCCTGGGCAGGCAAGCCGGGGATCCATTCGTTGTTGTCAGCGGCATCGAGTACCCAGTAGGCAGCCGACATGAACAGGCCGATGCGGTAGACGTAGCCAATCCAAGCAGGCGCAAGTCCCTCCCAAGACCTTGAGGGTAGGAGAAATGACTTGATGATGGAGGGCAGGATGAGAGCAACAGCAAAGGGGATAGCCAACTGCCAAGTGGCCGAGGTTGACGACGTCGCCGAGGCGTAGTACGTAGAGGTGCAGTACGGCATCTGCTCCTCGCGGCAAAGCTTCGAGAAGGACGCGACTCTGCCCAGGACGACGAAAACAACAGAGTGGTAGATTGCCATCGTACGCTCCCTCATGGTAGGCACCGAGAACGCGGCCAGAACGTTCGCCACGCCAAAGGTGGTGATGAAGAAGAGAAGGATTGAGTCCTCCCAAATGGTGTAAGAGTTCGAGGCAAAGCCAATCGACTGGCTGACAGTGAAGGTCGCGGCGAGCCAGCCCCAGATATTGTTAGGCATGAGGTTCAAGACGGTCTTGCCAAGGCCTGACAGCGAGAAGAGAACACCGATGGCACTTGTGAAAGCAGCACCTGCGATGGCGTAGATGAGGTCGTCGGGCGTGGTGAAGATGGAGTAGACAGTTCCAGCTAGGGCACCGGGAACGGCGCCGAGAATGGCAGTGAGGACGATTTTCTTGTGGGCAGTCTTGTACGATGCGGCGGAGTCGGGCTTGACTCCCTGAAGTTCCAGCTTCTTCTCTGCCAAGTCGAGCTCGAGATCGTCGAGGACGGCGAAATCCTCCTCCTCGTCGCGGGAGGCGTAGACCAGGAGGGTTACGACGCCAGCAGCCATCACAACGATACCGGTGACCATCTTGGGCACATCGAAGCGGGCCCAAAGGTCCTTGCAGATTCGCAGAGTCTCCTCCTGGAACATGTTGAAAAAGCCGTATGCCTCTTGGTAAGACTTCCACTGCCAGGAGCGATCGGCCTTCTTCCAGAGCTGTGACACCTGGCTCGCGGTAGCACTCTTGGTCTGGTCAATGCCACGAGCGGCGAAGTACGAGTCTTGGTAACGCTGGATTCCGGCAGCCGTCATCCGGGACACAGCCGCAAGGTTGTTCCAGTTGTTGCCTTTCCTGCCAGCGAATGCCTCCTCGATGGGGCCTCCCAGGTTGTTGTACGGGATGGGAATGCCCATGAGGATCGCCAGGGTCGGTACGAGGTCGATCTGGTTGACTGGCCTAATCTTCGCCGTGCTGGGTGGCTCTTTGAACTCGGGCTTGGTGCGGCCAAAGAACGGGCGCTTGGAGTACATCCACAGCGCTGCTTCGACCTCATCGTCGCTCTCTCCGCCGTGGTCGCCCTTGCTATCCATACCGTGGTCTCCCATGACGACGAGGAGGGTGTCATCGTCGATCTCGGCAGCAAGCTGGCGGATGAAAGTATCCATCTGCTGGAGCTTGGCTGTCATCGCCGGGTGGTTCGGTCCATATCGGTGTCCCGCATGGTCAACGCCCAGCAAGTGGCCAATGAGAAAATCCCACTTGCCCTTCTCCTCCTTCTTGAGGAGAGGGAAGAGGTGGTCAATCACGCCGTTGTCAACCGTGTGCAGGTCCCAAACGTTGAAGCTGTCGTAGGCCTTGCTTACGTTCGCCTCGAAGTAGCCAGGGAACAGCGACAGCCAAGTGTCGTCTCCAAGGTGCACAATCTTTTTATCAGCGTCCTTCAACTGCATAAGCAGATTGTCCTCGTCGATAGCGTTGCCACCGAAGCTGCTGCCAATGTCGATGAAAGTCGGAAGCGTGCCGGTCGTCAGGCCCTTCAGCCGCTGGAGGGTTGCTGTCGGCGGATCGGCGATGAAGGGCCGCAGGAAAGCGTTCTCGGGGGACTTGACCGCCGTCTCATGCAGGAAAGGGAATGCATTGTGAAATGGGGCGTTGTCGTCTACAGGCACCGTAAAGTCGTATCGCAGCGCGTCGATGAGAATAACGACCGTCTTGTCAAATGACTTTGGGTGCCAGCAACCGCCCTCGACAGTCCCCTGGCCCTTCCAGCTCGACACCAGGTCCAGAGGCGGCGCCGTGCAGTTGGACTTTTCGTCCAGCACCAGTCGCGTCAAGAGGAAGCCGCTCGTGAAGAAGATGATGCCGACGGCGTGTAGCAGCAGCATCCAGGTCCAGAAGCCAACGGTCCACCACCACCTGCGCTCGTACGCGTCTTTGCGCCGGGCCTCAAAGACCTCACGCTGCTTCTCCAGCAACGCCAACCTCTCCTTCTCGGCCTGTATCTCTTCGGGCGTCCGACTTGCCTCCTCGAGCTCCTTCTGCTTCTTTGCTCGGGCGTATTGCTCGGCGATCGCCTTGTAATCGGCGGCCGGCGGTCCGGCCGCTTTCGATTTCGGAGTCTTTTGTTGCTGGGGCATCGTGGGACAGGTTCGGATGAACTCGGGTGATTGGTTGGTGTACAAATATAAAAAGGAAAAAGGAAAAGAAAAGGGATGCGAATCAAGGTTGGCACTCGCTGGCCATTGGACTACGGGAAGCTGGAGCAGCCCCGGTTGAAAGCGTTGTTGTATGCTGCTTGTGGACGCGCAGCTTGGAGGCGAGGTGTCGACTTGCTGAAGAGCTCAAAATTCCAGGTGCATTATGTTCCGGGCGGCCGCACCGGCAGTGACGCGGGTCCAGCTTTGGTGGGGCGGACGGCGTTCCTCAGGGACCAAGGATCTTGCACCTCGGCGACGAACCAGTGAGAGGCCCCGGATTGAAGGTCATCAAGGTGCGGCACTCCCATTACACTAAAGCGCACAATAGCTTCTCCAGTCGATGTCAAGCGATTTCGAATTTAATTTGGGAATGGGAATTAATCAATTATTTTCTATCTCACCATACATCGGCTGTGAGAAAAGCAAGAGAAATCCCAGGTGGTTTTGGTGGTTCTGTGTGTTACTAATAAGCTCAGGTGAGGCCAATTCGTCGCATAGTCATGCTTTTCTAGGCTGCAAAGGCCAACACCCAACGCGGCCTAGGGATACTGGATGCGTGTAATGAACTGAGGACGTGGTCCGCGCCCTATCAAGATATGTGTTTGTGTGTATATGCTTACACGGTGTCTTATTAAGAGGCCTCTTGGATGAGATTCACCGCCTGGAGTCGCGATGCCTGTGACTGTGATAATCACGATCCCTATCCCTCTCCCGGTCTCTGTCCCGATGCGAGTAACGATCTCTGTCCTCGCGATCCCTTTCTCTGTCCCGGTCTCGCTCGTCCCTGTAGCTCTCTCCCCTCCGCTCCTTGCGCTCGGTACGTCGCTTCTCCTCGTCTCGACGGTACTCGTCCAGTCTCGGCCGGCCACTCTTCTTCTTCCCGCCGTGGTTCCACTGGCCCAGATCCTCCGCGCCTTCTAGCTTCTTCGCGCCGAGGCCGAGCTGATTCTGGCGCCTCTCCGTCGGCCTCTTCTTATTTGGGCCACGCATTTTGCCATCCCATCCCATGCCGCGCAGCAGTGCCGCGCCAAACTCTCCGTCGGGAATCGCATCGTAGTCTGCGAGCGTCGAATCCTCGCCCACATGTTTCAGATCAGCGAGGTATGCGTCTTCCTCGGTCGCCTCAATGACCATCTCCTCCTCGGGCCGCTTCTTCCCCAGAAGAGCGTCCATTGCATCGTCGTCTGCTGTTCTCGGGGCCTGTTTGACTTGCGCCTCCTCAGACCGCCTGTCGTCTTCCTCGCGCCGTCGAGAATCGTTCTCAGTCGCCTCCTCGCTGGTCTTGCGCTTCTTGACGGTCAGGCCCCATTGTATCTCCTTGTCCGCATCTGCCGGTTCCGTCTCAGCATCCTGCTTGCTTTCACGCTGTGCTTGCGCCTCGGCTGGCAGCAGATTCTTCCCGCCTCTTCGCCCGCGCAGCTCGTCCTTCCAGTTACGGTTGCTCTGGCTCTTGATGACCAACTCGCGAGGCCTCTTCTCCTTCTTCTCCCTCTCGCCGCCGAACTCTGTGATGGCCTCGTGCCGCCCGCGGTGGTCGCGCTCGCCGTCCGAATCCGAGTCGAAGCCGTGGTTCAGCGCGTTCGTACGCGATCTCTTGCCCAGTGATGACGGAGGCTCTGGTCGTGAGGATTTCTTGTTGTTTTGGGATTTCGAGGCTGACGAGCCGCCGAAGCTGATCGCGATCCTAGGCGCCTTTGAGCTGTCGGACATGGTTGCGGGCAGCGGGTGGCCGGATCCTTTTTGTGCTTTTCTAGGGTGAGTTGCTGGTGTTGAAGGCTGGTTCACAAAAGCGCACTGGCTCAGGTTCAACTTTCTCGGGAGGTACGTCAACATGCAGGGATGCGGGTCGGTGTCTTATGTAAGGTGGGGCCCTTTTTACAGCAGATCATCTACAACGACACAGGACAGCTCTATCTAGTGTCATGCCACTACTCTTGACGCCTCCTCTACTTCTTTAACCATGTAACGCTACATTCCTCACAATGATTTTGTTGTTTTGGGTCAGCCTGCTTAGAAGGCAAAGACCTGGTCCTCGAGCTTGCTGACGGGGCGAGCCTTCTTGAAACCCAGGCTCTCCGTAGCCTTCTTGAGACCGCTGACCATGGGCGGGGGGCCGCAGAGCAGGATCTTGACATCGTCGGCCGGCTTGGGCAGGAGCTCCTGTGATGCTTGTTAGTTCTGCCGGTGGCATCAGACATCGCAAGGCAACTTACGGTGATCATGTCGGCGGTGACGTAGCCAACGCCACCGGTCCAGCCCTGAGGGGGCTTGTCCAGGACGTAGTGCACGCGGAAGCCGCTGTCCTCCTTGGCGAGAGCATCGAGGTCCTCCTTGAGGAGAATATCCTGGGGCGTGACGTTGGCGAAGATGAGGTCGATCTGGGTCTTGTCACCTGCGGCACGGCCACGAATGACAGCACGGATGATCTGGAGCATGGGGGTGATACCGGTGCCTCCGGCGATCATGCCAAAGTGACGGACCATGTTCGGGGTGTAGACGAAGGCACCCTTGGGACCCTTGACCTTGAGCGTCTGGCCAACCTTGAGGGAGGCCATGTGCTTGGAGATGTTGCCGGTGGGGTAGGACTTGATCAGGAGGTCAAAGTAGCCGGGCTGGTGGTCGCCAGAGATGGGAGTGTAGGAGCGCACGATCTCCTTGGAGGTGCCATCGGGCTGGGGGCAGTTGGCGCCGATGGAGATGTGCTGGCCGATGGGAAGGCCAAGAACACTCTTCTCGGAGGGGAGGCCGAACCGGTAGCTAAGGAAGCTGTTAGCTACATGGCCCAGCTCCGGGCGATTGCGGCGACTTACATGGCAGTGTTGTGGGAGAGGATGGTCTTCTCCTTGAGCTCAAAGTCCTGGAAGACATCCGGCTTGAGGACCTTCTTGATTTCTGCGCGGGGTGGGGTCAGCGAGGCAATTCCGAGCAGCTCCGAGAGGGCCCGAACGTACGCATAGAGTTGAACTTCCACGCAGCGAGCGCAAGCGTCAGCGGAATGGCGTAGATGAGCCATTCGCTCTTGACAATCGTCACCCCGAGGACGAGAAGTCCGGCGGGGATGTAGATGTTGTCAAAGTAGGCACGGGAGGTCAGCGAGTCGGCCATCTTGAAGTCGGCGGCGGTTCCGGGAGCTGTCGGCTCCACAGGAGGTGTACGGGGAAGCTAGTTCGGGGGGGCCTCGATCTGATCTGGAGAAGAAAAGGACACAGTCAGTTTCACATGTCTTTGGGCCTCGGGCAAGGTCGAGGGCGTGCACTGACTGAGAGGACAGCTGCGGTGACAGAACTGTCGCAGTCAATTGAGTGAAAGGGGGACGCTGAGCGGAAGGTAGTCAGGGTGTGCGAGCGTGCAACCAGATATCGTAAGATCGCGATGTGGGACAGCCCCTCCACCAATTTTCTGTTGAGTTGCCGAGTTTCTGCCAGCCCTCCAACGGCGGGCGGTCAAGCTTTTTTCGCAGCGATTGCGAGCGTCGGCGGTGCGGAGGCCGGAGACGGGACGCGATTTTGAACCGCATTTGGCAAAATAATCCGACCACTTTGCAGTGGCCGCCCCCGACCTCGGGTTCGCGAAACCTTGAGATGCGTCAGTGGCTTGCAGCTTCGGTACCGCAAAATACGTGGCTGTGCGAGCTATGCGAGTGGCTTGGCTTGACGACTTCAGCCACACCCAGCGCGACGCCACATTACCCCAGGTCAGAGGCGCGATCAACATGAAGATCAACACGGCTGGCAGAACCGAGGACGCCGAGCTACAGGAGCTCTTCCTCTGTTAATCCATCGTCGTACTCGCCTCGATGCTAATCACATATGATATTGGGCACAACCGAGGTTCAGCATTCATGATATCATAATCATGTTCTGCAACCCCTTGCGACGCATCACCTCGAAGGAACCAGTACGAGAACCAATGTCTGCGCATTGCACGATGAATCCCGGGCGAACCGACGACCGGCCCTGTTCAGTGGCATGATTGCTGATTTCCACTGAGCCTCAGGCCGCAGGGCAGATTGCGGAGAGTCTCGGCACACCCGCCGAATGGTGAAATCAGACATGTCAAGCTGCTGCATGCAAGTTGGCTGGCGCTGAGGACGGCGACGTCATAGTTCCGCGAGGCTGCCACTGAAGCCTCCAAAGTCGAGCTGTCAACTGCGTTTCGAAAGTCACGAAAAGTCAACTGCACATGGAGGCTGCCCTGCTAATGTCCTGCTCGGACCCGAGGATCCGGTCCGTTCGAGCTACCATTGAAGGGGTACAGTAGTTCGTTGGCTTTAGCCCGGCGCGAGTCGCCAGTCTACTAGGTGTCGATCGATCAAAAGCGCACTCATCGAGCCGTGACATCACCATGGCTGTTGACGCGACAGTAACACGAAAGTCGGAACACGTCCCTAGCGGCAAGCAGCTAGGCATTCTAGTGACAGACGCCGGCAGTGCGGAAGCATAAGAGGATTCAGGCAGGAATGCTGCTGCTACAGGTATGCAAGAAAAACCGCGTGGGTTGTTGGTGAGGGATTCGTACGAGACGGGGGAGCCGGCCGGAAACATAGCTTGGAACCGACAAGCGTTCCACGCGTAGGAGTGTGGTGGCATTCTGCAACGGATTCAACCTATGACACCTTTTGTTCCCAGTGAAGAGCATCTGTCGACGACTTGGACTGGAAACGGGGTAAAATAAACTCGGTTTGAGGTAGGACGGCACCGTCGTACGGGCAAGACAACGAGTCGAGCTGCGTGGGATAAATGGGTCTTGGCCGATAGCGGTTGTTGAATGAGACCGGCCGAACAGACGAGCGGTGCCGGATGTCCCCGCTTTTGGCGCCATGTCAGGTCGTTCAAGGCGCCCGTCGGGACTGGGAACGGGGGGGCCGTGCCCATGGTGGAAGGGGGAAACGTGCCAGAGATGCGGTGCCTCTGAACTCAGTACGGATACACTTGTACGCTTGGTTGTCGCGAACAGAACACGGGGTGTAATTCGTACGAGATGGTGAATCCCATGCCGCACTATTGTCGAGAGCGAGTCGTGTCTTCGAGCGCGTGCATATGGCTATTATCTCCTATGTCCCCTTGATCTGCAGCTAGAGAGAGACCCTGAGAACCCTGAGGAGTTGAGACCAAGTTAAGCCGGATGGATGGATATTAGATGGATAACTCATGCCGCGCCCAGGGCAGCTAACGCGCACAAGTCCGGCTCATTTCCAGAAACACCGGGTCACTCTTTTGATTAAATGCGCTTGGCTGAGGCGGACGAGCGAGCGACGCGACGCGGGCTGGAGGATGGAATTGCGCTCTCAACTCGAGGCGAGAGCTCCTTGCGAGGAAAGGATTTGGCGAGCGAGTGGCGCATAATTGTGCGGCAGTGGCTTTTCCCATCAATGATCCCTGGTCCTGTCGGCGATCAGAGACAAGTCGCAATCTTGTCAAGTTGCCTCCCAGTCCACACTGAAGCGAACCCCCCAAATTCCTTATCCTCCTCCCCCCCCCCCCCCCCCCCCCCCCCCCAAATTTGGCCGATGCGGGTTGGTTTCACATTTTTCTCGTAGGCTTGGTCGTTCAGACGATCGCGTTGCCGCTGGGCATCCCATTCCTTGGACTTGGGAAATTGGGGGTTCGCTGTGCGCATCCTTGGTGTTCCGCAGAGGGACGTGCTACCGTACCCTTTTTTTCTTGCCCTTCCCACGCTCACGGTTTTACATGTCTGAGCCAAGTTGGAACCGGTCTCATGGCATGATGACATTTGACGTTGACGTTTGGCAGCCACACCGATAGCTCCGGCTGACTGGTGTCTTGTGTGTCTTGTGTCTGTCGTCGGTTGTTGTGCCGACATTCTTGTCTCTCGTGCTCGTTCTCGGTACGGCGGCATGCGGCATATCACTGCACTGGAAAAACCGCCCTTGACCTCTTGGAGACTCTTGCATCTGTATGAGCACAGAAATGGCCGGTCGGTGCGCGCTGCAAGCCGTGGACAAATGAAGGGTCCCCCAAGACCCCTCCTCGTATCCGTATAAAACGGGGCTGACAGGCGGCCCGGGCAAAGAGAGCATGGGATCTTGTGAGCGTCTGCCTTCTTACATCTCATTCCCTGGCATTAAAAGTCTATTCAGAGACACGAGATCTCGGTGCTCGCGGCTGTTGCCAACTGAGAAATCGCCGAGCGTCCGTAGACGAAGATTCAACGCAGGGCGCGGATGAGGCCGTAGCCGGGACTCTCGGCGGCTGAGAGAAGGAAGGAATGGGACAAATGCAAAGGAGGACATACAGTACATATTAGTCCATACATAGTCGGCAAAATTGAGGCAATCTTGGAGACGTCGAGGTTGACCGGGGCCTCCCCCATTTCGCCAGATATTGAAAGTGGCTTGAAACGACCCTTATTTTCGGACAGACCGGGCTCTTAGTTTCTCCACGGGGGCCCGGGAGGCTCAAAACTCGGCGAAAAGCAACACTCGGTAATGTCATGGAAGAAAGAAGAATGAAAGTAGCGAGAGCAAAATGAAAGCAGGGTGGGGGATCCCTCGCTATCAAATCAATCGGTGATCGCGATGGAGAGTGAAAATCAGAGGTGATTCGTGAAGGACGAAGGGGCCTTCCAAGAGCGACCACGGCAGGGCTTGGCGCTAGTGCGGGCAGTGGTCTGCAGCAGGGAATTGGAGCTACCGAGCCAGTCAGAGCGATAGGAAGCTGTCCGCGGCATCCATTCTGGCAGTGGCACTAACACCCCAGCGGAAGGAAGAAGGATACGCGGCATGGACGGCGAAGCAGGAAGAAGCAGAAGACGGCCGAGAAGACTGGGAGCGGCGTGCTGTGTTGTGTTGTGTCGACTGCCGTGTAAGGATTACTATGCGGTATGGGTGCCGTACAGACAGACTATGACCTAGTTTGCAAGTAGACACGAGGCACAGCCATAGCACGAGTTGCGTACGCAGCTGAGTCTTGCATGTCGTCGACCTGTAGCGTAGCAACAACCCACGTCGCTGGCGCGGCATTGGTGCTGGAGCTGCAATGCTTGTGGGTTTTCTAGTGGAAATGCTTGGCTGGGAGTGGGAATTGGGGGACGGCGATGGAAGATGCTAGCGCCAGTCCAGTCAAGCATCGCAGGCTGCGGACAGTGAGGCGACGCGCCATATCCAGCGACGATGACATGGAAGATATGCACCTCAGAGAATCAGAGCTGGAGGCCACAATTGACCCAGGTGGTCCACATGCCTTGGCGGCCATGATCCACGCAAAACGTGCATAATGGTGGGCGACAACGGGTGTTTGGTACGTGTTTCTCACCTTCTGGTACCTAAGGTAGGTACGACAGACGGCGGGTCCAGAGAAATCACGATATATTAAAGAAATGGACAGAATGGGAGACGGGTAGCGAAAGACTAAGCGTACAATCTACTTGAAGTACATTACATGCATGCCTAGTACAAAAGCACAAACGAAACAGAGCGCTGAGTGAGCCCCAGTATATCCGTCGTCCCTTCAGCTGCCGTGGAAACCAGATATCCATGTCCATCTGAAAGACGAGGGAGCGGGATTCCGCAAAAGCAGATGGGAAAGACCATGTCCGCCCCCTCGGGCATCTCCTTTGCATGGTGCACGTTGGGCGGGCTTGATGCGGCGGCACCAAGTAATTACCTACCTTACTCTGTAGTACTGCGGTAAACACCTCGTCCAATTCCACGACTGCAAGCCCAAGGCTAAGTGCAATACTACTACTTAAACTGCTGCATAGGATGTACTATGTAGTGAGTGCAAGTGCAAGTGCAAGTGAAAGTGCATGTGTCCCATCCAACACCAACACCACCAACACCAACACCAGGAACCCCGCGCAGGTCTCATTGGGCCACCTGCTTTCGGGACAAAAACAGGATGTGCATCGATAACATCATAGCTGCATCAAGCCTGGCCTGTAACCTTCTCAATCCCATGCCCGCTATCCACTGCGACCCTGTCCCCTGCCATGCCGTGCCAGGCCATGCTCCTTGCACACTGGACTGAGGTGCTCTTCCCTGCCCTTGCCTTTGCCTGCACTCACCTCAGGGCAGTGACCAGTCTTCGCCGCCCACTGCACTGCTGCCCTCCACCTCCCTCTCCACCCCCAAAAAAAACAACAGC